GGAAGTTGTGGGACTTTGATAAGGATCAGGTAAGGAGCCCTGAAATATTTAGTGAGCTAGTTTTTTGTGGCAAGTGCATTTAGTGTTATTTCTACAGCACAGGGTACTGGAAAGTGCAGATGTTTTTTCTGCTGCTGATGGTGTCTTGCAGGCAACACTAAGTAAGTAGGAGAATGTATTCGAAAGTTAATGTATAACTAAGCCATAGTTTGGAGGATCTTTTACTTGCAGGTGTATTTAGACAGAACATTTCTTTTTTCCCACTGCACAAAAGTATTCTAAAATTGTAATGGTTTGGTTCAGTAACACCCCAGATTTTTGTTTAGTTTTGCACATTTTTGCATGTTTAAAGACAGGGTGACTGTTGCAAATCTTCATTTGCTGGAAGTTGCTGGATTGTTTCACTTCTTTTTATTTTGAATCTTCAGCATTTTATCTTAGCTATGTAATGGCTACATTATTCAAATGAGACACCAGCAGAATTTACAATTACATCTGGCTGTTAGCCTGGCATAGAAGCGATGCTACACACCTCTTTGGCATGAAATAACATTTGTATTCTAATTGTGATTGCATTTCTCTTTGGAAGAAATTCACGGCTATGACTGCCAAAGTAGTCAAAGGGGTTTAGACGCATCTCCTATTACATGAATAAATACTCTACCTCTAAATCTCCTAGGTTGCTAGAAATATATTTATACACCTTGTTTCAAAGATGGCAATGCCCTGCATAAAGAGAAAAAAGAAATTAATAGAAGAAATGGAATTTAGTTATCTAAGAAATACTCTGGGCACTTTAACAAATGCAGGAGACTATTATTTTGGGTTGTCATCCATGGAATTAAAGTCTACCAAGAAAAGGGTTAGCACCCAGAAGGAGGTACAAGTCTGGTCTGGTGCACTGTAGTTCGAAGATAGCGTAAATAGCAAAGCTGCTTGGATTCTTGGGATTCAGAAGACAGCTTGCTGTAAATGGCCCAGATGATCTCCAACTGGCTTGTGGAGGAGGCTGGATGGAGAAGGGGGGCTCCAGCATCTCTGGTGTGACTTCAGTGGTATCTGCAGGGGCACACCAGGGATCAGTGGAGCCAGGCTTATTGTGAGTGTCAGGTTGAAAGCCTGCTGACTGTTGTTAGCTGCCTGTTTGTTAGGGAACTTGATCTCTTCATGTTGTCCTTGCAGGATTGCCCCTTTCCCCCCCTTCCCTCACCTCGTTTCACCCAACACCTCCTGAATGTTGGACCTGCCCATTCTGGCCTCCCCAGACATGGCTGACAGCTGGTTGAACCTACAGTCAGAAGAAGAAAGAGGACAGGAGAGCAGCATGGGGGACTCTGCCAACCTGGATGACAGCCTGACTAGCCTACAGTGGCTGCAAGAGTTTTCCATCATCAATGCCAACATGGGCAAGTCTTCCTCTTCTCCAAGCAGCTCGGACCCTCATGGCTACCACAAGATCCCTGGCTCTGCTGCTCCTTGTTCCCCCTTGGCCGCTGACCCAGCTTGCATTGGGATGCCCCACACTCCCGGCAAACCCATTTCATCTTCCACCTCCAGGACTGCTCACCTGGGGATGGGCATACAGACCCAGCCTATGGAAGACATAGATTACAAGACCAACCCTCATGTGAAGCCACCTTACTCCTATGCGACGCTCATCTGCATGGCCATGGAAGCCAGCAAGAAAACCAAAATCACCCTTTCAGCCATTTACAAATGGATTACGGACAACTTCTGCTACTTCAGACATGCTGACCCCACCTGGCAGGTAAGGACCCCACCAAGCCATCCCCCCCCTTTGCATCCATCCCTAGAGATGGACATGTGCAGAATGCTGAAGGGGTTGGGAGAGATTTGCCCTAGATGATCCAGTACTGCAGTAATGGTGCCAGTAGATGAAGTCAGATAGTCCTCAAGAGCTGATGGTGCTCCAGCCCCAGATTGGGCCAGAGCAGAACAAGAAGGAGTAATACGAATTGTGTTCCAACGTTGTGCGCCTAGCATCCACTGCACATGTGTTTAATGGAGCAACAGGAACTGTGCTGCCAGTTCTAAATGGTTGGCAGAAAGGGGAGTCTTCCTGTTGATGTCGTTTTAACATTGGTAGCTGACCTCTTAATGATGGCACTCTTAGAAGCAGTTCGTTCTTTCTTTCTCTCTTTCTCTCTCTCTTTCTTTAATTGCTTTTGGTATGTTTCCTGCCCAGGCCTTTTGCCTTGAGTGAGCATTCTGTAGCACACAGGAGCTGCTGTAAATGAGACCACAGCCCAATATAAAGAGGAATTTACCCTTGTAAAGCTAGTGATTGTCTATCACACCGCCGATGCTGGACAGAGGTTGAGATGGAAGACAAAAGGACAAAATCCTCCTCTGTTACATCAGCAGACTTTAGTGTGCTGCACGCATGTAAAGGAGAAGAGCTTTTGGCTCGGAGAGCACAGGGAGGAGAGACAGAGAGGGGAAAGAAGAAGTGGAGAGGAAAGGCTGAGAAGAACATGAGAGAAGGGGATGAGAGAAAAGACTGGGGGACAATGGCAAAGGGAGGATGGTAAAAATAGCTGAATGGATAAGGGCAGGGAGATATCTGTGAGGTGTTTAACTTCTGTATCGGGTTCAGGCACATCGGCCAGGTTCCCCTGTTCTAGAGATTAGAAACCCAACAGTGCCTTGAAAGACAGCTTTGACCAGGCGAGCTCTTGGCTGCAGTAAGACATCCATTATCCTGCGATAGGCCACTGCCATTTTGAGGATACTGAAAGGTAAAAATTCTGCTGTAAGGACCTGAAACTCCTCCTGCCGTTGGACGGCACACCCGTTGGGAGGCATTTCCATCCCTGAGTACCAACGCCTTGTTCTCTTCAGATGTCAGACCCGGCAGCCCCCAGACTGAGGAGTCATTTCTTCACTCCCTTGCGGGGGGAGGGGGGGGATTAGTGAATTCATCAGATCTCTGAGCCAGCAATTTCTACAGCCACAAAGGAAAAGATCTAGGGGAAGGGTTAATACCTTCATGTAGAAAATCCCTGATCAGCAGTGCTTAGATCAGCAAACACCATCTTTTCCAACCTATAGCACAACGGAAAGCTGTGTCCCCATTCAGCACAGAGCCTTGTATCCTTCAGTGGCTTGTGGCATGAAGAAGGGGAAAGATTTCATCCCTGTGATGAGAGCCCTGAGCCTTAATGCTCCTTTGCAAACAGAAAAACCTGTCCAGGGCCAGCTTCTTTTGCCTCTGTTTGAAGGAGGAACAACTTCCCTAGATCGCTGGTGACCATTACGACACTGATAAATAATTCCCTGCACTCCTTTGCAGGCTGAACCATGCCCTAAACTAGCTGCAGCCCCAAGAGTTAACCTGAAGATGCTCCCCAAAGCTCATGGGGAGAATCACTGAACCAGGTTCATCTCTGGTCATACCCTAGGCCCTCTAGGGTACATACTCAACATGGGGCCTCCCCAGCTATACTGGCTCCATGCCCTCCCCTCCAAGGAATTCCTGGCACAGGGGGCGTTCCAAAGATGCATCACGGGGAGGAGGAGGTGTGGCCAGGGTGTTCCCACCCCCTGGTTAATCCCAGGCTGCTGCAAGGACATATGGGCCATGGCAGGCAAGGTGCCAATTGAGCGCTGCCCTCTCCTGCGCTAGAAACTGAGCCAGCCGAGCAATCCCAGGGTCAGGGAGGCTCAAGCTCCTCTTGGAGTCAATGCTGGCTCTGCATCAGCACCTGGGTGCATCAGGCCCATCGAATTTGAGTTCTTGTGGCCATGGGCACTGGCCAGCCAGAGATTAAATGGTTGCAAATCCGACTGCCACCGTTCAGTTGTGTGCTTACCCCCTTAACGTGCCAGCTTGGTCTGGCTCTCGACCATTTTTTTAAGAACTTTGAGAACCTGAAGACCAAACCTGCACTGCTCAGGACTGACACCGGAATGGTTCTGGGTTTAAACCAAATAAATCCGACAAAACAAGGGAGTGGACTCAGATGGAGGTTTGCTAAGACTGAGGTCCCGAGCCGTGCAGCAGCCATGGGACCATGACTAGATCAACTAGTGCCCACCGCCTTCCATGCAACCACATCCACTCTAAACTAGGGTGAATCTTAGGCATCTTCAACTCCCACCTTGTGCTTGTGACAGCTCCCCAAGCTCCATTCCAGCTGGCATGTTCAAGCTGAAATGGGAGGGGGCAGCAGTCCCTGGTTCTGTAAATTGGGAGCGATTCCATGCCAGCGAGCAGGGTTGCACTACCCGTGTGTGGAGTATCAGTCCAAAAGGCTTTCAGCAATAGTGGTTGAGGGAAACTCCCCTACATAAAGAACCGTCACCAAAGAGAGTTCTCATCAGTCTGCATCCCCTAGCAGGCGCAAGTCAACCTGTTTGGGCACTGGGGAATATACAAGAACAGTCAGCCAGGAGGCAAGTGCTAGTATTTTGACTTCTCCAAATTCTGGATAATTACCATATTTTCAATTAAACAGGTTTAGTAAAAGAAAAAAAAAAGCTCTCAATCCCTCTCTGCAAAGATGCAGGTGGTTAGATTGCTTGTTGCAGGGAGGAATGATAAATATGCTAACTGGCTGGGTAATAATCAACTGCAAGCCAGCTAGGCTGAATGAAATTTGGGGCTGGGAGTGGAGAATTTGGCTTGGAATTGTCTGACCTTTGTAAGATTTCATTAAACAGTAAATTCTGAATCCCTGGAGTCTGGAATGTTTGCTGGGTTTTTTCCCTTTCTTTCCCATTATCCCACCACCTGTGCTCTCATCATTTTATTCCACTTCTAGTAAGCAGAGACAGACTCAAAAGGTCATGCCACCCATATGCAGGGGGAGAGGGATAGATTCCTGTGGGAGCTGCATGCTTTGGAAAAGAGCCAATTTGCCCAGGGAGTTTCAGCCTGGAGGAGGGGTGTTGGTTTTTTGTAGGGTGTGTGGGTTTGTTTTTTGTTTTTTGTGAGGGCTCCAGGCATTCAAGCTTTGTTTTTACTATCCAGCAATACGGATTATGGATGAATAAGCATAAAGATATCCAGGCAACATTTAAAAAAAAACCTCCACCATGTCCAATCTCTTAACACTCTCTTGGCTTTGTATAGTGTAACACAGCATTATTTACCCAATAACTGAGTTTCCTTTCTGATTATGCACATCACTCCAGACATTCATGTTTTTCAGAGGAGCTCGACGGGAAGCAGAAAGTTCCTTTTTTAGTTCTTTTTGCAGCTGTTTTGATTTGTGCTTAGGAAGATACAGACAGTGATTTCATACCAAGCTTTCCTACGTCTTGTGGACAAATTCACTAATGGTGCTCAAAATCGAGGTGCAAATCCATTGCATATAGGTGTTTGTGTCTAAGGCCAACACCCCATGTGCAACCGGGTAACAATAATCAGCACATGGACACGTGCATTTCTGAGGAAGAGAGCACGCATACCTGAGTGGGATCTAGGTGCCAGGATAACACTAGAGATAGCAGGACTCATTCATTTGCCAATTCATTCCCCCCTGTTGCTAACACTGGCACAGCTCACACCCCCCATCCTGTCTTTTCATGGGAGTGATCCACATTCAACAGAAAAGACTCCTATGAAACTCAGGGAGCTCTGGATCAGGCCCCTTGGCTCTGGCTATTTTGAATCTGCTTGGAATTGAGATGGCTGCCTTCCCTTTGGTACTCACACAGCTGCTGGCCAAGGAGGTTTCTGCTGTGCCGCACAACTCGGGATTCGGCCTGGGATGTGTTTTCCTCTTGTAGTCATTTCTGTCTCCCGATTGTCAGAAGGCCCCAGGTGGTCCTATGTATCTTCACCCCATGGGAGCAGTTTACATTTTGTAATGGATCGTTTACAAAGTTGTACATGTCCAACCTTGCTGTTTTCTCTTGGGTTTAGAATTCCATCCGGCACAACCTATCCTTGAACAAGTGCTTCATCAAGGTGCCACGAGAGAAGGACGAACCGGGGAAAGGTGGATTCTGGAAGATCGACCCTCAGTACGCAGACAGGCTCATGAATGGGGCCTTCAAGAAGCGTAGGATGCCCCCTGTGCAGATCCACCCGGCCTTCACCAGCAGAGTCCAACAAGAAGCCGGGACGGCTGCTAACCAGGCAGTATCCTCTTGGTCCAACCACAGTGTCCTGAATGTCAACATGGAGTCACAGCAACTGCTCAAGGAGTTTGAGGAAGTCACAAGTGACCAGAATTGGAACCCAGCGGATGGGAAAATGGGCCACAAACGTAAGCAGCCATTGCCCAAACGTATGCACAAGACAGCTCGCCTCTCTAGCTCCCCCTTGCTCACCCAGGAGGAACAGACGGAGCTTGGCTCATTGAAAGGTGACTTTGACTGGGAAGCTATCTTTGATACCACCTTGAATGGCGACTTCTCCACTTTTGGGGATCTGGAACTCACACCTCCTATTAGCCCAATAACTAGAGATGTGGACTTGACAGTGCATGGAAGGCACATTGACTGTCCACAGGAATGGTGCCCAGTTGGACAAGATCAGGTCCTAACAGAATCCAACCAGAACAACTTGGACTTTGATGAAACCTTCATGGCCACCTCTTTCCTTCAACATCCCTGGGACGAAGAGAGAAATGATTACCTCTCAAATTCGGTCAACATGGACCAGTTGTTTGACCTCAACGACTCTTCTTTGCCAACAGACATGAGTGACTGGAGCAGTATGGGATCTTTTTTATAAGAGCCTGCTGCCAGCTAGAAGGATCAAGTTAAACCCAGATAGACTTTATCTATTAGCAAGATACTCCCATTGCTGCTGGAACTTACAAAGAACAAGATCTCTAGAAACATGTTGACTTTTATCAGCTGCAAAGTACGATCAGTGACAGTCACTCTAGAAGAAACCCAGAAAATTTGGCTGGATATATCTCTAAACAACATGCCAGGAGAAGTCTCTGCCCCTTGGGTTTCTCTAAGGGAAGAAATAATTGCTTATTTTGGGACTCTGTTTTTTTTAAAAAAAGAAATGCAGATTATCCTACTTTTTGTGGGAATGGAAGGAGCATATGTTCACTCTAGGACAAAGGAGAACAGTTGCTGAGTTTCATGCAAGAGCTGAAATTTCCTGGTGACTTAGAAATTGCACATGGTCTACAATGTCCTTTCTCCTTCTCCATTTGTCGCTCTCTGTTTGTTTGTTTGTTTTTTCTGTCCAGGGATATTCCCAGGTACAACATGAGATAATTAAGTAACAAGTAAATAAAAGTCCCTTCTGGATTCTATACATTCAATCTCCTTCCTGAATTGGGGCTGGAGAAGAAGATGAGATCTGTAAAATCAGATGTAAATCAGCAAGTTAGCCTCTTCAGATGTTTATAGTCTATTATATATATATAAATATATCTCTATTCAAAGATACCTATATTTTTAGCACAATCAGTAGAGTATCTCTTTGATGGGATGGCAGTGGAAATGTTTTTTTCTGTGCTGTATAAAGACTAATGTTAATTGTTCTACAAATTAAAAATGAAGCATGTCAAGTGTTTATTGTAACAAAATATGCAAAGGAAAATTCCTACATTTAAAGCAATTAATTTCTTGAAGAATCAAGAAAAGGATCAAGACAGGAGAGACGGAGAAGAGACTTGACCTTCTCCAGATTGTGCTCTTACTTATTTGTGTATCCTGAACTCCTGGTTTCGGATTATGTGCAGCTGTATTTGCTGTAAGGCCCAGAATTGTGTCACTGTGAACCTGCTACGTTTCTGAATGATGACTGACAAAACCATGTTCTCTTCGCTGATCAGAAACTGTGATCCGAAAGCATCCCCTTCATCCGCTTGCATGTCAGGCTCTGAACAGCCTTTGGGATGAGCCAAGAGACAAATCAAGCGATAAGTGATTAAGAACTGAGCTTTCTTCTCCCTCAGTGAAGCAGCTATGATCAAATGTTGCTTTCTTTTGGAATTGTTATATTGGGGGTTCCCATGCTCACACCAGCTGTTGATTATTTTGTTTATTTAAACAAATGTGCTTGTATGGGATGAACAAAAAATGAAATCTCTGTCCAGGACTCAGTCAGGGAGCAAGAGGCCAAAGACTCTGCTTGCAACAGACGTTAGTTATGAATGAAAGCAGAGTTTAGAATTCTCTTCTCTGCCTTCAAAATGTGTCCCCTTTACTCTGCTCCCCTCCTAAGGCAATAATTATTCTCAGCACTTACCACCTCCAGCCCGCTGCACAAGGTTAACCAGCTAATTCTCACTGCACCCCTGCAAGGTAAGTATTATTATCCCCATTTTACAGATGGGAATGACAAGGCAGCGATCAATTAATTGGTTTGACCACATCTAGTAGCAGCACTTCACTCCCAATCCTGTGATCATACTGCCTCCTAAAGGTATGAAGGGGATGCCAGCAGGCTAAAGGTTTCTCCAAAGCAGCTAGAAATTAACATGGTGTTTTCAAATGCCTGGAAAGGCAAAGCAAGGAGAGGCAAAATGCCTGACTCCTTTCTTAAGACTTTTAACAACCCAGGATCAGAACCTCAGCTGGTGAAATTTGCCAGAGCTCCCTTAACTTCAAAAGAGCTATGCTGATTTACCTGCTGACGATCTGCCCCTAATTGGTTTGCTAATGGGAGTGTGGAAAGGTGTCTGTGAAATATGCATAGGCAGCAAAGAAATATTATGGTAGTTAAAAATAAAAAAACCTCACAAAAACTTGAATTCAAGCTCTAGAGAATCAGATTCTAAGCCTCTCTGTTGGTACAAGTAGTATAGTTAAGGTTAGGTAGCAGCTAGTTAGCAGAAATGAAGTTACTTTGGAGTGTGTTAGACTTGTTGAAAAAGTGGAAAACTATAAACTTTTTTGTTTGTTTAGAAACTATAGTAAGAATATAGGAATCTTGATATGAGCAAACTAACTTAGCTGGAGTCTAATTGTCATTTAAAAATAGCCTGATTTAATGCTGGAAAAGAAAACCCTTGTATTAACTAATGAATTAACTTGCATTCAAGGTCACAGAGGTCGGAAATGCAATGCATTCCATGTGGGTTTTCAGGTACATAGGGCTAGCTCCTCAGCTGGTGCAAATCAACCTAGTTCCACTGATGTCAATGGAGCTATTGAGGCTTACAGCAGTAGAGGATGCTGACCCACTGATCTCCATACTGGTGGCTGCTGGAGTGGAGTGGAACAATGAGGGTATGTCTACGCTTCAATAAAAGATGTGGGGCACAGCTGTGGCTGGCCCCAGTCCACTGGTTTGAGCTCAGGTTGTGGGGCTAAATATTGGTGGGAGCCTAGACTTTGAAACCCCATGAGAAGGAAGGGTGGGTAGAAGCCAGAACATACACACTGCGGTTTTTAGCCCCACATCAAGAGCCCTGCAAGCCCAAATCAATGAACCTGGGTTCTGAGACTCATTGGCATAAGATTATTCCGAGGGGCCATGGTTTACACAGGGCTCCCCTGGATCTGGCAGACATGCAGAGGATACAAGCTGCCATGGCTGCCAAATGACTCCAGAGGTTGGTCCCCGTTTTACGGAGGACTAATGGGAAGTAGGGTTGGAATTTTAACATCTCAAGTACTCAGAGAACAACCGCCAAACCGAGTGGGGGTGTCGTTGGCCAGCATGCACTGCTGTGACAGCTGGCTGTGTTGCCCAACGGTGAGACATAGCTGCAGACCTTCATCTCCATTCCAAGGCTACCTGTGCTCAGACTGGGCCTAGTCCAGTGTGGGGGTTTTATGCTTCATGTTTTTTGTTTTCTCCTGTTTTGGGGCCTGTTTCATACAGATGCTGGAAGAACTGCAAAGATAAGTGTGCAATTTAACCTTTTTCATGGAAAGCTATTTACAATTAAAAAAACATGGCAAATGGAAAAATGGGTTTTGCCTCCTTGTTTTCCTAAGGCTTAGCATCGCCTTCTGTCTAGTCCCCAGCCCCTCTCCAACCTTTTAATGCGTTTATCCTCCCAGAACTCCTGGAGGTGAGGTGGCCGGTGTGGTTACCCTCAAGGTATAGCTGGGGAACGGTGGCTAAGGAACTCACCCAAGGTGAGACCAAACATCTGTAATGGAGCAGAGACTTCCGTTCAGGTCTCCCAAGTCTAGAGAGTGCCCTAACTGCTGGGCCATCGTTCTTCTCTTTTCATGGAGGTAAAAGGTGTTTAGGGATGGGAGAATGACATCCGTCTAAGGGATCAAGATGTAACATGCATTAACTAATTAATTATACTAGCAGACTTACCCAGCGTTGCCCGGGTCCTTCAGAGCAGGGTCTTGGGGATGTCAGAGAGGTGCAGGAGGCTGGGAGACAGGGGCATGTTCTCCAGCATCGTTCTTCTCTTTTCATGGAGGTAAAAGGTGTTTAGGGATGGGAGAATGACATCCGTCTAAGGGATCAAGATGTAACATGCATTAACTAATTAATTATACTAGCAGACTTACCCAGCGTTGCCCGGGTCCTTCAGAGCAGGGTCTTGGGGATGTCAGAGAGGTGCAGGAGGCTGGGAGACAGGGGCATGTTCTCCAGCCTTAGATTACCCCACCTGCCAGGGGTATGTTCTCTTTC